GAGAGAGAGAGAGAGAGAGAGTCACAGACAGAGACAGAATGAGACAGAGAAAGAGACACTGTGAGATAGAGTGTGAGAAAGAGCAAGAAACAGTGATAGAAAGAGTGGGAGAGAGAAAAAATTAGAGAGAGGGTGAGAGAGAGTGAAAGTGAGAGAGAAAGGGATAAATATTTAGAAGGCACAACAAGAGAATGAGAGAAAGAGAAAATGATAGAGAAAGACAGAGACTTACAGATAGAGAGCATCCACAACAGGCTAACTATAATGAAAAAGAACTTAAAACAGACACAAAAAAAGCAGAAAAAATAACAGAAAGACGAAGCCAAGAGAACGGTAAAAGTAAAAATCAAATTAACTTAACACCCCAAAACTAATATAAAAAAGAAACAAAACAAAACAATTTCTCCATCCAGCTCTCACATTGTTTAGTCCTTTCAGTCTCTCGTTGTTGGCCTTGAGTTCTGCCTCAAAGGCCGCGTGTTTCTGAAGCTTGGCCTGCAGGTTGCTAAGGTCCCGGTAAGACTCATCGGTCGCAGTCTTCATCTTTTCCTTCATCCAATCAGACAGCTGGAGAAATAAAGAAGAAACCATTCGAAATTTGTCACATTCTCATCAAGATAATTCAGATCTTAGAAGAAGCCTGCTGTAGAGGCCATAGTGTGACTCATCTATCGCAGTCTTCATCTTTTCCTTCATCCAGTCAGACAGCTGAATAAAAAAGAGAGGAAATTATTTTAAAAATAACAGTACCATTGTTTGGTCCTTTTGATATAATTGTAATTATATCAGAGGCAAGTAAAGAAAATTTTTGTACAAGACTGAAAAATGATTTAGGTCCCTATCCACTTGATTATGATCATGTAGGAGGAAAGTTGCTACAGTTATCAATAAGGCTCATATCTGGTGGTCTTCATCTTTTCCTTCATCCAGTGGGACAGCTGAATGAAAAACAAAACAGTAAATCATAAATTTTACGGATGAGAAGGTGATTACAAACGTTTTTGGGGTTTTTTTTAGTATGGGGTTTTGCGGCGCTCGCAGCTGCATAAGGTCATATGAGAGAGACAGAGAGACATATTATACAAATATGAGGCGTGCTAACAATATGAGCTACTGCTAGTTCTCTCAATCCACAAATGGAGATATTGGCCAAAAATCGACACTAGGGTCAAATTTGTTGAATTTCTATTGATGCCATATTCTTTAACTATTGCCTTTTGTTATTTCATACTTATAAATTGTAGAAAGATCACCTATAACTATGACATATCTATTTTCATCAGGCATGAATCTGAGAAGTAACTCATTTTGTCAGCACGCTTCACAAATTTTATACATCTCCACTTGCATCTCATTTGTTTCATTTGCATATCCAGCTCACCTCATTAGCATCTCTCTTAAACTTCTGGAAGGCCTGGGAGGCCAGCAGAGCCTGGTGTCTGTCCGCGGCCCGGTCCTTGGCCTTCTGTCTTCTCTCCAGTACAGACTTGCGACGTTTGTCGATTCTGCGAACCGGAAGGAGGAATTCACATGTTGAAACTGACATTTATGATTGTAAATATTTGACCACCCAAACCCATCCATCAAGTTCGTTTTAGTAAGTGTTTTACGGCACTTGCAAAACAATAAGGTCATATAAGTGCCTAAGAGTAGAGGTGTTACAGGAGAGTAACAAACACAAAAAACAAGGAGGGAACATAATGATGATAGACATTTGATGGGAAAGAAGAAATAAACCACACAAGAGCACCCGCCAACCACCAACAAATTCGTACAAAGGAGTACTGAATAAGGTTACTAAAACTTTATAGACTGCTGATTTGTAAGGAGAGATTTCTTACTTTTCCATGACAAGGAAGAATACAGTTGTTTTTTTAACTCTCAAAACCGCCAAATCATTACTGTTATCATTATTATTAATATTATCATTATTTTCATTTTTACAATTATCATCATCATCATCATCATCATCATCATCATCATCATCATCATCATCATCATCATCATCATCATCATCATATCATCATCAACATCATCATCATCAACAACATCATCACCATTATTATCATTACTATCATTTGCATCATTACCATCTCTCTGCCACCCTAAGCAGCAAGCACATACACACACACACACAAACACACACACACACACACACACATAAACATGCACATGCACACACACACACACACACACACACACACACACACACACACACACACACACACACACACACACACATATTTATATATAAACATACACACAAACACATACACAAATAAACAAAAAAATAAGCAGTCAGCATGGTTTACTTCTCGCTGTCCGGGTGACCCTCAGCCGCACACAAACACAAGCACACACAAATAGACACACAAACAGATAAGTGGTCAGCATAGTTTACTTCTCGCTGTCCGGGTGACCCTCGGCCACCAGTTTGTCGGCGAGTTCATTCAGGGCCTTGACCTTGTCATCCTGGGCCTGGAGTTTCTTCTCGAAGTCCTCGTGGCGTCGGAACAGACCCTCCACGTCATCCACGGTGCTCTGTGGACATTTTTTAAAAAACTGTCAGACATGACGACTGGCTCCGGACAAATATCCTGAACTTTTCAAACGCATATGTAGAGAATCAAAATCTATGGATCATAATTATTGTCTCGTTCATCATGTATTTAAAATAGTGTTATACACTTTGGGGACATATGTTTTGTTGGGGGTTTTTTTTTTTTTTAAGTTTTTTTTTTTTTTGGGGGGGGGGGGGGGGGGGGTAAGTGTTTTACGGTGCGAGCGCCCGGGACACATTAAACTTTTTCAGTTGGTAGGAAATTTTGAATTTTGCCCGAGTGGCGGCCGAAGCCTACTCTTATCGATTTAAGACCACCATGGGATCTTTAACGTGCGCAACTTGCACACGAGACCTCCGAAGATTTTTGTCCTTGTCCGAGAAGGCTAGGTGTAGACCTTTCCTACCAGAAGATCAGGCGCGTGGCTGAAAGACAGCAGTTAGGAGGATCCAAGGAGTAGAAGTAGAAAGGCTGTAGAAAGAGTCAGGAGCCCAGAGGAGGGAGGGCAAAGGAGGTGAGGGGGTAGGGGAAGAAAGAGGAGACGAATTGAAAGTAGACGACAGAACCTTGCTAGAGAGCAGGAAATGAGGTGAAAGAAGAACATTTTAAAGAAGAAAATTTTTCGGTCGCTAACCGGATTCAACCCCCGGGACCTTTGAATGAGAGGACAACACCTTAACCTCTAGGCCACGAGAGCCCCCCGAGACATATGTGAGGTGAAATAAGGCACTCGTCAAAATTATAAAATCAAAGAAACGGGTGTTTTACTGACCGTCTGGCAATTTTTTCTAATTTTGTTGTTTAGGCTCAACACCTTTTATGCCCATTTAAAAACCTATTTCTGGGTGGGTTTCACTGAAAGACATTGAGTAAAGGCACAAAAACTGTAAATTTTCAGTTTCCAAGGATTCTCAGGCTATGGAAATTACCAAACTTTGGCGGCAATTTTCTCGTAAAATTTACCTCTGAAACCAGGCGACCCTCACCTCTTTCAATTGCAAATATCTCAACTTCTCTTCCATAGATTGATTTTTTTTCCCCAACAGTCAACAGGAAAGCAAATGGACTGACTTTAAGATGAAACTGATCTCCCCATATGCCCAAAACTTGACAAGCACCCGATTCCACCATGTCGTGGCAATTATTATAAGAGATAAGATAAGATAGTACTTTATTATCCCAGAGGGAAATTTTCCTCAGCTGTACAGGACCGTAAAAACACATGCAGGTATACATACAAAATTTAAATTATATATATATTACTCTCATTAAAATTCAATATGAAAGGAGAAGTAAAGCTGACAAAATGTACATTTACATCAAATACATCATTCAACCACATGCAGGAATTTAAATACTAGACCTTTGGAGTTATATACAGATACATACTCTAAGAGCAACACCCATCTATGCTCATTCTGACAAAGCCTTATGCTAGATGGTAAAAAACTTATTTTACTTAATGACACCATTTAAGACATCCACCTGTATAGACAACCACTTTCCTCCTCCACAATGGGTGTCCATCTCGGACAAGTTGTAATTGTCAGAGGTGACATCCTCCTACTACAGCACACGACCGACTCAAAATTGACGAATCATATTGCCTGAACAATACATCTTGCATCAAGAAGTTTTACATACAGAGCACAATCTGAACAATTTTAGAAACGGGATATCCAGATATCTAGATAGATGTATATATATATAAAAGTGGACTTGAGAGGCTTTGTGCACAAACTCCTCCCTTATTACCTAACCCACACCTTTGAAACCTTGCAGGGGTCCACAGCATCCACGTGGCTATGACCTAACTTTTTAAAAATCCACGCAAACTGCTTTCTCTGATTTTCCCAAAATGCTTTGTTTCATCCACACAGAGTTCTAATCTTGGGAAAGTCCGTCTTCTAAGACACCATTGTAAACAAGTGAGGTTTCCGTTCCTTAACCGTGCGAATTGATTCAATATCTTTGAAATTCTGGAGTGTACAACCACGAAAGCAGAATAGAAAATCAATCAATACATCAATTATATAATTTGGCAACTTGGAAATACGTGTGTCACTTTTCTCTCAAGATTTATTGCTCCATTCCAGTAGAGTGTAACTATAGTAGGCCAATTAACTTTTAGTTGATGTTAATGCCCAGATCATTCCTTTCATCGAAAGGGGGCCCAGCTAGTATAATATAATAAGCAGCAGTTCCCTGTTGAAGTTCAGGCACAGTTATGAGCGTGACTAAGATGAATCAGCTCATTTACAATTACAATTCTACTGTGCATAAGAACTTGAGATGTAATTGCGCCCCCTCCCCCTGGGAATGGCCTAAAGACAATTCAGTCAGTAGCACCCCCCCTCCCCCCTCACTGCCCAAAGACAGGTGAAAGCAGGTCAAGACTCACCCCCATGTCGTCAAAGTCCAGGAAAGCCTCATGGCTGCTGGTCACCGCATCGATCTGGTCTGCTTCTCTGTTGAAAACCTGATGAGAGAAAAATAGTCATTATAGATTTTTTACATCCCAATCAACACAATTAAGATCATTAAGAAGGCAGGTTGCTTTGATCCTGCCTGTCAGAGCCAGCTCAGGCTGAGAGAGGGACACAACACACTATCTCAACAGAGAGACCGAGATACTCATTTTTTTAAAAAGGTGATACTAATTTTTTTTATAAAGACTCGCTACATGGGAATCGAAACCCGTTGTCTGCATGCAACAACAAAGTGTCAAACTGCTGAACCACACGATTTTTGCGTGTCTCTGGTTTTAATTGTTTCATAAAAGAGAATGGACTGCATAGAACAACAAGATAGTAGTCATTTAACACTTTTAGTACAGTCTGCAGCTTAAGTCGCCAGGCCGTAGTATACGCTCATTCTCATTACCACTGGCGACTTTAGCCACTGACTCGACCAGGCACGCTAAGTATAATTAACCCTATCCGTACGTCGTGTTTTACTATTGTATCCATATGACGTGGGGAACTCTGTGCCACCACTTTCAAAAGAGGAAATTTACTCGTTAATCCTATCTGTACGCTTTGCAGAACAGTCTGTCAAAATGATTTTTTGAGAAATACTGAAAGTTTCAAAGAGATCTTCGCACTAGAAGTATTCTAAAACGTGAAGAATACAACCCCAGGGGTACAAAATGACACCAGGGTGTACGGAGAGGGTTAAACAACGATCAGAGCCACTGCACTGAAGTAAATACCAAAGGAAGTCACTCTATGTGATAGCTGAAAGGTAGAAGAAACTGTGAACTTTTAAACATGTTTCTTGGGCTGCACAGGTATTTAAAAATTATATTAAAATTGTACCACGGCTTCAGAATTCTAAACCAGTATGGTACTTAAAGGTTTTTCACTATACGAGCCTTCGGTACTGTAAGTCTTAGTGTTAATACAGGGGGGAAACAAGATAGACAGACAGAAACAAAAGAGGGAAAGAAAAGAAGTGGGACCTACAAGTGGAATTACCATCCATTATAAATATTATGTTTATGATTGTCATCAACATCACTATTATTAGAGTTGCTATCTTTATTATCTTTATTATGATAATTATGATTATAATAGCTAATTATAATTAGCATGATCATCAACATCATCATTATTGCATCTCGTAGGTTTTGAAGTTATGAAATACAAAAATACGATCATTATTTGCCACCATCCTTACATATCGCCATTTTATTGAAAAGAGACACAGATGTCTATGTTCTGAAATCCATTGATGGTTAATTATTCTAATTATCAATATTACCATTTCAACAAAATAAATTGTGTTATTAAAAAAAATATTTTTTTAAAAATGAATAAAAAAAATAAAATAAATAAATAATAGATTGCATTTATATAGCGCTCTATCCCACACTAGAATAAGCTCTGAGCGCTTTACATCAATCACATAATTATTCACACAAGAAAAATTATTTCACAGAAGCAAGAAAAATTCGTTCAACCACATAAAGAAGAACTTTCACAAAAATACATTAACTATTCACGAAAGGACAAGATAAATAAATAAATACATTTTAAAA